TGTATCTATCTATCTGTCTATCTGCCCATCTGTCTATCTATCTGTCTGCCTGTCTGTCTGTCTATCTGTCTACCTGTCTATCTGTGGTGCAGTGTCATTCAGTGTAGTGTACTGTAGTGGAGTCTAGTGTAGTGTAGTGTAATCAGTGTTGTGTAGTGTAGTGTAGCGTAGTGTGCATGTAGTATTGTAGTTGTAGTTGTAGTTGTAGTTGTAGTTAGTGTAGTGTAGTGTAGTGGAATGTAGCGTAGTGTCGTGTAGTGTCGTGGAATGTAGTGTAGTGTAGTGTAATGTAATGTAGTGTAGTGGAATGTAGTGTAGTGTAATGTACTGTGGTGTAGTGTAGTGTAATTTAGTGTAGTGGAGTGTAGTGGAGTGTAGTTGTGTAGTTGTAGTGTAGTGGAGTGCAGTGTAGTGTAATGTAGTGTAGTGTAGTGTAATGTACTGTAGTGTAGTGGAGTATGGTGTAGTGTAGTGTAATGTAGTGTAGTGTAGTGTAGTGGAATGTAGCGTAGTTTCGTGTAGTGTCGTGGAATGTAGTGTAGTGTAATGTAGTGTAGTGGAGTGTAGTGGAATGTAGTGTAGTGTAATGTACTGTGGTGTAGTGTAGTGTAATTTAGTGTAGTGGAGTGTAGTGGAGTGTAGTGGAGTGTAGTGGAGTATAGTGTGGTGGAATGTAGTGAAGGTGTAGTTGTAGTTGCAGTTGTAGTTGTAGTTGTAGTGTAGTGTATTGGAGTGTAGTGTGGTGTAGTGGTGGTTGTAGTTGAAAATGATACAAACCCTCACGTTTTGCTCACTTTTGACAAGATCCACAATCCCTTGCACCTGCCACGCGGAACGACATCTTAACGTCCAAAAGTGGTCCGAACCCCTGGTGTTTTGTACATTTTGACTTCGAAATGTGCTTCGCGCCACAACGGCGTGCACTTTTTCGACATCTCAACTTCCAAAAGTGGTCCAAGAATGGTGTGTTTTGTACATTTTGACTTCGAAATGTGCTTCGCGCCACAGCGGCGTGCAAAAGCGATCCGAGCACCAGCTGTTTTGTACATTTTGACTTGCACACGTGCTTCGCGCCACAACGGCGTGCAATTTTTCATCTCTCATCTGGCCAGCTGGCTCCGCACCCGCCGCTTTAGCGAGCCTACTTTTCGACCCCACAAATCATTGGAAAAACACAGTGTTTCGCGACTTTCCTACCTTTTCGCGCATCTGCATCTTCTTTCTTCTGACTCTTTCTCTTCTATCAGCTTCTCTCTTCTGCTCTTCTCTTCTCCCTGCCTCTGCCCAGCTCTGCTTTTCATCTGTCCATATTGTCGGAAGTTTGACTTCTAAACTTCCTTCGATTATACCTATTTAATAAAACAAAACTTGGATGTGCAAAAACTGTTGGTTATTTTGTTGGATATTTTGTTAGAAGTGTATATATATATACACATGGCTGGGTCCCCATGTTATGTCCCAAAACAAAGCCAATGTTCTGACGTGCCACCACCAACTTACTGGTGCGTTTTACGTAGGGAATGGATGGGTTGCTGGGGGTTGCTGGGATGATCATTCCTAGTGATGACTGGGATCATTCCCTCATTCCCTGCGTTTAGCACCAGTAAGCCAATCAGATCTTTTGACAACTATTGTTGGCGTCGGACATATCCCAATTTGTCGTAAGTTATATCCTCTGGTAGATTAACATAAGAGTTTTGCTGACTGTATTACACAGGTTTAGATGCCAGAAAAAAAAGACCCTGGCAGATCGGGGGCAGATCGGGGGAAAATTCGTTTCAACTACAGTAACAAATGGTGATTTTCAGGGTCTATTTAATTTACCAGAGCGTATCAGGTATATCCCTTTCCTATTCCTTACCCTCTGGTAAACTAACATAACTATGGAACATCACCATTTTTCATGGGAAAATTCACTATTTCAATGGTGATTTTCCATAGTTATGTTAAATTACCAGAGGATATCATGGGTTTTGATTCTCCGCATGAGTGATTTAGCACCGCACAGGCACCCTTGCAGTCTTCCTGACAGACACAGGTGGCTACGGAGGTGGTGGTGGATCAATTTATTATATAATGGTTACCATGATGATTTCAGTATGGTTATGATTGGTTATGTTTGCCGACTATGATTGCTATGGTTGATACTGTTGCTATGATTTTACATTGATGCTCAATGATGTTCTGAACACCATTGCGGTGTGGAAAACAAACCATATCCTTTCCAAAAACGTTAGTGCAGGCCTGTCGTTCAGAAGAACGGTGATTGGACTAGGCCGAAACCTTGATTTTTTCCAGTGAATTTTGTCCCAGAATTTGAACATCGCAATGGGAATGCCGGATCAATTTGAGAGTAGCAGTACCCTCCAGTAAACTAACATAGCTATGGAAAATTACCATTTTTAATGGGTAAATCAACTATACATGGGCAATGTTCATTAGCTATGTAAACGTTTACTGGAGGGTAACAAATTTATGGTGTCGATTTCCTGATTTCCATCAAACAATCATCATATTTTGGTGATTTCCATCACTATCTTCCATCTGGTTTATATATCAAGTAAACCATATATATATATACACCATATATATACCAAACATCAGTAGATGAAATCCCCATCTTCCAGGGTGGCTTTCCTCACTGAAACGCAGGTCTCAGGGAGATCTTTGAGGCTGCTGGTTTTGAGATGTCCGGGCACCTGGTTGCTGTCTACAAAGAATCCATGGATTTTTCAATGGAACCTATCTACAATCAGGAATTATTAAACAAGAAAGATGGGATTCGTCAATTTTGTTTTTTTTCCTGATGTTGGTTAAAAGTTTTATTTCCCAGAGATCGCAATGGGGGGCCAGTTTTGCAACACATGTTTTTTCAAAGCTTGCAACGGGATTTTCTGGCAGATTTCGCGAACTCATGGGAATTCATCAACGGCATCGCGACAAACCTGGAGTATTTGAACCAGCGATCAATTTCACATATTCACCCTCCGGTATAGACGATTTTACATGAATGAGCTAGCAAACATGATGATTTTCCGGTTTGCCATGTTAAATAGCCATAGGGTACATATGTATATATGAATGTATATATATATATCATTATATACATATATATATGAATAGATATATGGGTTGTCTTTTAATCCAAGGTAATGTAAATACCCTGCGGTAATTCAGCTTTGCAATGGACAGTCACTCAATCATAAATACTACGCGATCGCAACATGATGATCTTTAAGTTCATGTGCAAAGAAGAACACCCAAATGTGTCTTTTTCTGCAAAGATGTTATTTATTCCTTGGCTTGGGACGGGTTGCATCTTGAAACATAAGATGTCTCCCATCAAAGGCAAGGTAGACGAGCTTGGATGACGCAAAATCAGCTCTTTTAATGTAAAAGGGATTGAATTTCGGATTCCAAGACATGTTTCTACACAGTTGACTATGCATAGCTGGCAGATCGCAACATGATGATCTTTAAGTTCATGTGCAAAAAAGAACACCCAAATGTGTCTTATTCTGCAAAGATGTTATTTATTCCTTGGCTTGGGACGGGTTGCATCTTGAAACATAAGATGTCTCCCATCAAAGGCAAGGTAGACGAGCTTGGATGACGCAAAATCAGCTCTTTTAATGTAAAAGGGATTGAATTTCGGATTCCAAGACATGTTTCTACACAATTGACTATGCATAGCTCGCAGATCGAAACATGATGATCTTTCAGTTCATGTGCAAAGAAGAACACCCAAATGTGTCTTATTCTGCAAAGATGTTATTTATTCCTTGGCTTGGGACGGGTTGCATCTTGAAACATAATTGACTATGCATAGCTCGCAGATCGAAACATGATGATCTTTAAGTTCATGTGCAAAGAAGAACACCCAAATGTGTCTTATTCTGCAAAGATGTTATTTATTCCTTGGCTTGGGACGGGTTGCATCTTGGAACATAAGATGTCTCCCATCAAAGGCAGGGTAGATAAGATTGGATGACGCGAACTCAGCTCTTTTAATGTAAAAGGGATTGAATTTCGGATTCCAAGACATGTTTCTACACAGTTGACTATGCATAGCTCGCAGATCGCAACATGATGATCTTTAAGTTCATGTGCAAAGAAGAACACCCAAATGTGTCTTATTCTGCAAAGATGTTATTTATTCCTTGGCTTGGGACGGGTTGCATCTTGGAACATAAGATGTCTCCCATCAAAGGCAAGGTAGACGAGCTTGGATGACGCAAAATCAGCTCTTTTAATGTAAAAGGGATTGAATTTCGGATTCCAAGACATGTTTCTACACAATTGACTATGCATAGCTCGCAGATCGAAACATGATGATCTTTAAGTTCATGTGCAAAGAAGAACACCCAAATGTGTCTTATTCTGCAAAGATGTTATTTATTCCTTGGCTTGGGACGGGTTGCATCTTGAAACATAAGATGTCTCCCATCAAAGGCAAGGTAGATAAGATTGCATGACGCGAACTCAGCTCTTTTAATGTAAAAGGGATTGAATTTCGGATTCCAAGACATGTTTCTACACAGTTGACTCTGTGGATTTCTCCATATAGACTGAAAAGGTGTCTAATCTTTTTGGATATCAAAGCTTGCTTTGTCGAACATGATAGGTGTTTGACCCATCCCCATACCAAAAATTCCATAGTTCATCATCATCATCATCCATTTTCATTTCACCATTAAAATATACTTAACTGCCCATTTCACGTGCTGCAGTTTCAGACACACTCGAGTATCTATGATTTTCAGATGGACATATCCCGAAATGGATCAAAAATGGTATGATGACCCACTTTTTTGCGTCTCATAGTAGTTAGTAGTTCCACAATTGGGGGGGTTCTTTTTCCATGGGGGATCCCCAAGTGATCTTTTCAATCCTAAGTCATGGTCATCCATGACGACTGGATGAAAATTAGGGAACCCCCCCATGACTTCGGAAACCTCCATGTGCTTCAACCAGCGCCAACCAGCGCCTAGCATGGTGCCATGGCAGCGCCCATCTATGCCTTGGGCGATGAATTGGAGATGGACCCGGGGTGATGGTGATGTATGGGGAGATATGGTGCACAACTCAGATAGGAACCCGAGGGTAAACTGGGTAAACATCGAAAAAGATGTGGGAGACTATAAAAAACCACTACAGTAGATGGACAAAATATTCAAACCCTGCAGCACGCACTTTGTTGAACCCGCGCACCCCCAAATCTCAATGTTTCAGCGCGCGTGTTAGCAAAAGTGATGTTAGGGGTTTGATTTTTTTCGTCCATTGGGGCTAACGCACTTCAGGTTACAATAACATTGAACTTTGGGGGCGAGGGGGTTGTACCGGATAGAAGGGGTTTGAATATTTCGTCCATCTACGGTAGTTTGCCTAGGAAAATGATCTATTTCGATGTGGGTTTTCCACATCGAACTGTGTAGTGGAGGGTAAATGGTTCGACCCCGCAATCGAGACAAACACCCATCTAGGCAAATGCGTAGTTTTTTCTCGGGTCAGGTTTTGTCACCATAAATCGTGGTTTTGCAGGGTATATACGGTCAAATACGGTCAATTAGCAATTGACAATCTATATCCATACCCAAGGTTTATCCAATCTGTAGCTGGTTTATAATCATTGTTATTAACCACATGTCAACTGGGATGCACAGTGGTAATGTCAGAGATTTGTTCTGTGTCCACTGGGTGGCCTAGATGGCACCGCACCGCTATCCTGATCCAGGACTGGCCGTTGGAAGGAGGCTCTGGGGTTGAAATCATTGAAACCAACCATGGCAGGGACAAACCATGGGATATGATGGGATATAATTGATTTAGCTAGGTGCATTCCCAACAAGATGATGTTTGGGTGTGTCTGAACATGGATATGTCTGACGCATGGAGATTGATCTCAGTTTCTGACCCCGTATTAATGGCAACCATCCATGATTTTTTCATTTCAACCATCCATGACTATAAAATAATCCATTTAAAACATGGTGATGACCATCAACCATCATCAACCATCATCAACCATAACCAACCATCATCAACCGTCATCAACCATCATCAACCATAACCAACCATCATCAACCGTCATCAACCATCATCAACCATCATCAACCATCATCAACCATCATCAGCCGTCATCAACCATCATCAACCATAACCAACCATCATCAACCATCACCAATCATCATCAACCATCATCAACCATCATCAACCATCATCAACCATAACCAACCATCATCAACCATCATCAACCATCATCAACCATCATCAACCCATCATCAATCATCATCATCAACCATCATCAACCATCATCAACCATCATCAACCATCATCAACCATAACCAACCATCATCAACCGTCATCAACCATCATCAACCATCATCAACCATCATCAACCGTCATCAACCATCATCAACATCATCAACATCATCAACCATCATGAACCATCATCAACCGTCATCAGCCATCATCAACCATCATCAACCATCATCAACCATCACCAACCATCATCAACCATCATCAACCATCATCAACCATCATCAACCATCATCAACCATCATCAACCATCATCAACCATCATCAACCATCATCAACCATCATCAACCATCACCAACCATCATCAACCATCATCAACCATCATCAACCATCATCAACCATCATGAACCATCATCAACCATCATCAACCATCATTAATCATCATCAACCATCATCAACCATCATCAACCATAACCAACCATCATCAACCGTCATCAACCATCATCAACCATCATCAACCATCATCAACCGTCATCAACCATCATCAACCGTCATCAACCATCATCAACCATCATCAACCATCATCAACCATCATCAACCATCATCAACCATCATCAACCGTCATCAACCGTCATCAACCATCATCAACCATCATCAACCATAACCAACCATCACCAACCGTCATCAACCATCATCAACCATCATCAACCATCATCAACCGTCATCAACCATCATCAACCATCATCAACCGTCGTCAACCATCATCAACCATCATCAACCATCATCAACCGTCATCAACCATCATCAAACATAACCAACCATCATCAACCGTCATCAACCATCATCAACCATCATCAACCATCATCAACCGTCATCAACCATCATCAACCATAGCCAACCATCATCAACCATAACCAACCATCATCAACCATCATCAACCATCATCAACCGTCATCAACCATCATCAACCATCATCAGCCATCATCAACCATCATCAACCATCATCAACCATCATCAACCGTCATCAACCATCATCAACCATAACCAACCATCATCAACCGTCATCAACCATCATCAGCCATCATCAACCATCATCAACCATCATCAACCATCATCAACCATCATCAACCATCATCAACCATCATCAACCGTCATCAACCATCATCAACCATCATCAACCATCATCAACCATCATCAACCATCATCAACCATCATCAACCATCATCAACCATCATCAACCATCATCAACCGTCATCAACCGTCATCAACCATCATCAACCATCATCAACCATCATCAACCATCATCAACCATCATCAACCATCATCAACCATCATCAACCATCATCAACAATCATCAACCATCATCAACCATCATCAACCATCATCAACCATCATCAACCATCATCAACCATCATCAACCATCATCAACCATCATCAACCATCATCAACCGTCATCAAACATCATCAACCATCATCAACCATCATCAACCATCATCAACCATCATCAACCATCATCAACCATCATCAACCATCATCAACCATCATCAACCATCATCAACCGTCATCAACCATCATCAACCATGATCAACCATCATCAACCATCATCAAATCATTAATCATCATCAACATCATCAACCATCAACCATCATCAACCGTCATCAACCGTCATCAACCATCATCAACCATCATCAACCGTCATCAACCATCATCAACCGTCATCAACCATCATCAACCATCATCAACCATCATCAACCATCATCAACCATCATCAACCATCATCAACCATCATCAACCATCATCAACAATCATCAACCATCATCAACCATCATCAACCATCATCAACCATCATCAACCATCATCAACCATCATCAACCATCATCAACCATCATCAACCATCATCAAACATCATCAACCATCATCAACCATCATCAACCATCATCAACCATCATCAACCATCATCAACCATCATCAACCATCATCAACCATCATCAACCATCATACCTATCAATTATATATATATATATTATGCTTATATTCTTGAGAGTTAAATCGTGTTAGACCTGATAGGTGGCCTTGGGAGCTTTCGCGCCACGGTCATCGGCATTGCAGCGCGAGCACCTGAGAGGCGGCAGGTGCCAGGTGCCAACGGGATCCACCTGGGGTTCATTGGAATCCTCCAATCATGGGAAGAATACAATTTTTAGTAGGAAAATAATGATTACCCTCTGGTAAAGTAACAAAAAACCATGGAAAACCACCATTTTTAGTAGGTATATCGGTATATCGTGGTAAATCGGTAAATCAACTATTTCGACTGGGCCATCTTCAATAGCAAACTGTTAAATTACCAGATGGTAATCCCACTAAGAACCCCATTCGTAATCCTTTCATATAGATATATCATGATATATCATGGTATATTGGTATGATATATAATATGTGTGAATATTAAAGCCCGAAATACCAATTAAACATGTTTTTTATATGGGAAAAGGCCATAACTGTAATGAGGAAAACGGCGATTTCACCATCAACAGTAGGACGACAGATGGAGCTATAATGGGCCATAATGGGATTCTAACGGGATCCTAAAGGGATTTCATGGGGATACCATGGGGTAAAACAAACCCTTTTTCGGACACTCGAATGTGCTTTTTGGGACTCAAAATGTTGGATTGCCAGAGTGTAGAAGCCATGAAGAGTCAGGTAGAGGGCTGCCTTGAACTGTGATTACAAGCTTCACTTTGAGAAGAATCATCCAGTGGAGCCGATGACTGGGAGTCAAGCAAGGGGATGACTGTGGAATCATTCACCAATAGCCTCTGGGAATCGAACCTAGCACCTAGCTGGTTGGAAGAACAGCCATTTCAGCTTCGATGATTTTCCCAGCTAGAAACCATTCATTTATGGTGGATCATTTCTAACTTATCATTTGATGAATTTCTCAGTGAAATATGTATCTGGCTCAAAAATCCCCATAGTGGGTTATCATTGTTACCCTATGACTATTATAGATTATTTCGCCCTATCATAGTGAGTCATCATCCCTCTCTCATAAATTATCATTGTTACCATAGATCATACCAAAGATAATACATTATGATCATAGTTACCATAGATCATAGATCATAGATTATCCGTAAATTAACATTGTTACCATAGATCATATATCATAGATTATGATCATAGTCACCATAGATCATAGATCATAGATTATCCGTAAATAAACATTGTTACCATAGATCATATATCATAGAGTATGATCATAGTTACCATAGATCATAGATCATAGATTATCCGTAAATTAACATTGTTACCATAGATCATATATCATAGAGTATGATCATAGTTACCATAGATCATAGATCATAGATTATCCGTAAATAAACATTGATACCATAGATCATATATCATAGATTATGATCATAGTTACCATAGATCATAGATCATAGATTATCCATAAATTATCATTGTTACCATAGATCATGGATTATCCAGCACATAGATCAGTGTTATCCCAACAATCTTATAATTATCTCATACATTATACCATTATCCCATAGATCCCACAACAAGTTATAATAAGAATCATAGTGGGATATCATGTCATCATAATAATAATCATAGTGGGATTATCTATAGATCATCATGGGTTATCATTGTTACCATAGATCATTGTTTCTCTCATAGATTCTCCCAACGTTTCGCCAGAGAAGGTCTGCGCAATTTCTGGCGCTTCCAGGTGCTTTCCGCTACCGTCTGCGCTGGCGCGATGGCACCGAAAGCTGGGTCGGTCTGCGACTTCCCCACCGAGCGGTGAATCGGACGCCAGGCTGGGTGAAGGGGTGGATGAAGGGCTTGGGGACCGCTTGGGGACCTGTGTTTTCTCAAGGAAAAGTGAGATAAGTGAGATAAGTGAGAAGATCACTTGCAAAACTGCCAAAACATGGATTCCACCTACAAAATTTGCAGAAAAACCGGTGTTATTTTTCTGAAAGAAATGGTGGTTTACAATCTGTAGCCATGGTTGACTTAGCCTGGAATTCATTGGGATTTGACCCGCAGATGAAGAGTTCACCTGCATAGTGAATCTGCATGAAAATGCGAACATGGCCAGCAAAAGATGGTCAGAAGGGCGTTAATCCCACTATATCTCAATGATATATATATATATATATATCATTGTATATTATAATGTATATACACATATATATATATATACATTATGTATATAATATAATATAATATAATATAATATTAATATAATATAATATAATATAATATATAATATAACATAATATAATATATAATATAACATAATATAATACAATATAACATAACATAATATAATATAATATAATATAATATTATATTGTATTATATTTTATATATAATAATAACAATAATGATAATACTAATAATTTAATAATGATAATAATAACAATAATAATATCAATAATAATAACAATAATAATAAATAGTAATAATTTTAATAATGATGATAATATTTTTGTATTTTATTTAGATACACATTTGCCACTATAGTGCGCAATCAACGTTTCGACTTTTTGTTTCGTCGACTGAAATTGCATCTGCACACTTTCTAATTTAGATCACGCACCATTTTCCAACCCCGGAGTATGGTTAGTTCCAGTTCAACCACCTCTTTTTTGGGTTAAAGATTAGATAGCCACTATATATATATACACATGTATATCTATTATTTACTCATTATATACGCCCATTTTGACACATCAGATCCCCATACGATACCCTCATGATATACCCACTATATAGCCCCATTCTGTACTCCCCTTACTATTCTTGATTGCCGTTCAAACACATTTTTTTGCTTGGGTCAAAGATAAGATAACCTTTCTATAGCCACTATATATCCATTGTATGTATAGATATATATATATATATATATAGTATATATATATATTATTCCCAGTATACCCATTATAAACCATGTACCTTCATGAAATCCCATTGTCTTTAGTTTACATACAGTGATATTGTATATCTACAGCATACGTATAAAAGATTCCCCATTTTTATAACCCCCTTTGTTAAGTGGTTGTTCTATCCCCATGAACGATGAGTCTCCCTGCAGGCGCCTGGCAGAAGAGCGGGGACGAGGCGGACCATGCAGAGACGCCATTGAAGGCCTATGAGGACGTGGCCAGGTGGGGATGGTGGTGATGTTCTGTTGATGTGTTTACTATATGATTATCTATTGGTATTATGATGGTAAATTATTATCATATTGGTGCTATATGATAGTTGATATATCTATTATCATAATTATTACTGTTATAGGTATTATGACGATGATGGTGATGATGGTGATGGATGGTTCGAGAGTCTGCTCTCAAACGAATACCACCACGCCAGAAAAGACATGGTGCTACATGAATTTGACGAAGAGTTCCCCTGTTTCTATCATTAGATTTCCTGATAGCGATTCAACCACCATTCTGGATACATGATACTAAACACACTCAAACCAATACTTCTCTCAGGACAGCATTGAACCATTCAAGGTCCAAAAAAGCATGTTTGACCCCTATCCGCCCCATTGTTGATTGATCTCCCCATTTCTCAATGACGATCTTCAAGTGCTGATCTGCGATGCGGAAAACCCACGGTTCCCCGGAAGATGATCGTTCCCTTCTATGGTGGGTTTTCCATACTGTTCGTTTACCGGTAACGGCGGTAACGGCTGGGTTTTGTTGTTTTTGGATCTCCCGATTTTGGATCAAACCGGGCACGATCGGTTTGGACGCTGGAGGTTTTTGGACGCTGTGGCCTCATCGTTGGGTAAGGCTTGGGGCGTGTTTCCAGGGCGGCGTCCTACCAGAGCGGTTGCAGATATGTTCTTCAATAAGTTTGTTGCATTCTTTGAGATGATTCACTGTAGATAGACTTAGTTTTGGGATCTCTAGGTCCGAATAATTGGACTTTGAGATGCATTTACGGAATTTGATATTTATCGAAAAAGTGATCTTGCAGAATTCTGAGAGCATGACATCTTTCCTGCTTGTGGCTGCTCGGACACAACAAAAACCACACACATTCACAGGTCATGGGAGTTTCTGGGAGTTTCTGAGAGAATCCTGATCTCGAAATATTCACTGGATTGGTTTAAGGGAAAATTTACAGGAAACCCATGGGTTTTTACCATCAAATATAGGGCTTTCCTGTAAATTTTCCCATCATCCAATTCTATGAAATCTGCGGTTTTCGCCATGTCCTCCCGTTTCTTCAGTTGTCACAACCATTTTTTTTAGTTCGAGGACAGAGGGACGCTGAAGATTTACGACCCCTACTTCTGCATGGGAAATGTCGTGAAGCAGTTGGGCTCCCTGGGATGCTCGGCGATTTGATACGTGAAGCTTGGGGGGGGGTTCCCAGATGCATTTTTTTGGGGGGGTCCCAGGTTTGATTTTTTAGATATCGTTTTTTGTTGTACTGTATCCATAGATCTCCACTTTTCGCAACTATCTGACCATCCCATGTACATCTACAGATTCACGGACTTCATGAAAATTGTTTGTCAGGTTTTTACAATGTCTACAACCAACCAGTGGACTTCTATGCAGCGCAAAAGGTATCTTGGACCAATCCTGGGTTCCCGTTTGGCTAAGTTGGTGCACATAACTTCAATAACTGTTGGGTCTATAGAGGGTGTAACCTATAGTTCATGGGGATTTTAAACTTATGGGGGGGGGCCCCACCTTTGAAGGCATTGATAAGTTTGATAAGGAAGTGGAAACCCCTAAAAAAGGGGTCGAACTTGGCACGTATTGAATCATGTTTGTCTTCCCGTTTGTTTCTGGTTTTTCTTGGTGAAGGGCAGCAACACCATAGAGCTGGGAATTGGTCATGCTTTTGTATGTCAAAGCGACCTCTTGTTGTTCTTTCCATTATGAATTATTGATTAATTGCTGAACACATTTTGATGATTGCACACTAGCAACCTAAAGATGCTTTAGCTTGAAGATTATCCAATAAACAGTTTGTAGATTACATAAATTCACCGCCCAGCTGGATCCATGGATCCAGGCCTCACTTCCAGAGTATGATGTGCTGGTGACCAATCCGCCCTATTCTGGCGAGCATGTGAAGACTTGGGACAGTTGCGATGGGGGGAGTCAGATTACGGTACTTTTTTATACTTTTTTGCTTTGTCTTTTTGTTTTTTTTTCCAAACGGATGTTTTATGGAGAGATATGGAGAGATATGGAGAGATATGTAGAGTTGGATCACTTTCTACTTCGAGGCAGATTCTTGACTTCATTGACGTCGAGGTAGGGGTCACTGATATTGACCCTGTACATGCGACATACCCTGCCAAGTAGGAAGGGTCATTTGAAGCCCAAAGAAATCATCCTCCAGATCCAATTTTGAGTACCTCTGAGGATCGATTGTATCGGTTTGCGGCAGAGATGGCAGCAAAGCAAAAACCGAGCTTCTTGTTGGCCTCTCGATCCATACAAAGAGCTACTTAAGGGTGTAGGACTGGAGTGAAACAAATGGGTATAACATGGTATAACCGTGATGAGTTCACGTCCATAAGTTGGATATGGGGCCCCTTATGCCTACAGTTGTAATTGGGCCTGCACCCAAACTAGCTATGGATCAATCTTAAGCCACTAAAACACCCAGGTCGATTCCGGCAATTGACCCAAATCGACGTCCATCCCGCTGCATGGTTACACGGGTAGCCATTTGGTCATCCACCCAAACTTCACATGCTTCTCATTGTGAGAGAATTTCGCATGTCCAAATGCTTTCAACAAGACTGGTTGAAGAAAATGGAGAGAATCCATGTTGTGTCAGACATCCATTCATGTGCATTGCTTCGATCCCAATACCCATTGTGGTAACCTAACTTGGACATGCACAATCTCAAGTTTCGAGATGATTTTCCAATTAAACGTTGGAACCATCGATTTTCAGTTAAATAAACACAAGAAAGATCATTCCATCCCTTGCCAACAAATCAGGTTCCCAACTACACCATTGAGACACAGCTCTTTGATGATCTCTTCAGCGAGAAGGATAGGAATTTCCGCCACGGTGTCAACCGGATGGCTACTTTCTACAGCTTTATCTTTCACCATTTTGATGGGCCTTTCACTTAAAAAAACCTGAACATCCTGAACATGATCATGGAAGTGAATGTAACGAAAAAAATCGTGAACCATGATCTTCCAAGGGGGTTGGAGCTCCCATCCTCAAGTCAGTGGATGGCTTTCGAAGGGAAATCCAACCTTTGCCGATCCCACGCAGGATGTAGTCTTCATGGGCCCGGAGAAACGGTGCGCCTGGGCGATCTTTGAATGTAGCTGACTTCGAGACTTAGGATTTACCTGAAAAATGCTGGTTCTTAAATGTTCTTAATGGTTCTTACTGGCAAAACACAGAGTTTTGAAGAAAACTGGATAGATGGATGGGGGTCGTGATCAATTGTGGTCCAAAGTGGGATGGCTTGCGAAGAAAAAGTAAAGAGTCAATCTGTAGGTTCCCAGGCCCTTAATGCTTGACCCATGACGCATGGAACTGCATGAACATTTGCCACGTATTTTACAGCTCAGCGCTCAATGCCGGACTTTTTAAGGGGTGTCAGGGGCAACATGATGGAAAATGATGGAAAATGATGGAAACGTAGCCACAAAGTGGGGCGAGATGCAAAAGGAGTTCATTCACAGGAAAAGCTTGGACTCATTAGTTGAATTAGTTGAACAAATGTGGTGCCACGGTGGTGCCCGTTGTGGCGTCCGGATCTTGTTGGTGATATGTCAGTCCCCAAGATGCAGATCGGGGGTTGCTGGAATCCGTAACTACCCAACCAGATGATATCCCATCTTGAACCCACTACGCATAACCGTTTGTAAGGATCATCCTATAAAATCGGTAACATCTTGACATATCACAATAAACCATTCGGTAGTCAAATGTGGCAATGGAAAATCTCCAATCAATAAAGGATAGTAACGGTTTAATGGGAAGATCATATATATATATATATATATGGGGGATCTTCAATTGCTATGTTTGATTACCGGACAGTTATCTGAGACAAAGGAGGATTGTTCACCTCGTGGTTTGGGGTATCCCCACAATTCCCAAGAAGAAAACGGTTCCAAACAACCACTTAATCACTGGTTTAAGAGATTTCCATCGCTAAATATATTGAAAACTTAGTTCATATGATCTGATATTTTCATAGTTTAATATATTGATATACTATATATATATGTTATAATATTGAAAATCATTAGATTTTTCTCCCAAAAAGATTTCTTCATCTTATCATTGATCATCCATACTGCCATTGTTACAATTATATTCAAATACTAGTGTCATACTATATTAATACTATAGTAACTGTAGTAATTATTACTATATAGTATTACTATATTAATATTATACTAGTTGATCAGTTGATCACAATATTAATGTTAATATTTGATCATATCATAGTCATACTATAATCATTTTAATACTTCCTCTAATACTCTTGTTATTATTATTACTATTATTTATTATTATTAATAATACCTATTATATTATCATTATTCATATAGTAATTATTATATTATCGTTATTAATACTATAGTAATACTATGATTATTGTAATACTATAATAGTATAATAACTATTATAGTAACTATTATAGTAATACTATAGTCATTGTCCTTTTCGCTGTGGTAGACGACGCCCAAAATAGGTACGTCTACCGCAGCCCTCCCGAGCTCCGACCGAAGCTGCGAAACAAGCAGAGGACCCCGGTTAAGTACAGGAAAATCAGGGGATTTAAGCCTCATTTATAGTGGTTTAATGGGATTATAATGGGATTATCATAGGGTTTTTGATGGGATTATAGTGAGGTAAAAATTGGGATTATAAAACCTGAGTCTTTTTCAATGGCCATGCAACAGGAACCGATTGATTGGAGGTACCTATCATATATTTTTGGCCTAGTTTTTAGGCCCTCAGTTTCAGGGAATATATCCCAACAAAATATGACCTTCTATGGTACAGTACCTCCATTTTAGGATCCTGAAATTCCCATTGAAATGGGATTATAAGGGGATTATAGGGGTTGAATGGGATTTAATGTTGTGACTTTAGTGGTTTTTAGTGGCGAACAATGGGAATTTCATGGCATTTTCAGCACCAACAATTTTCGGATCTGCTCAAGAAACATGTGGTTTTTGGATTTAAAGGATTTAAGCGCCAAAAGTACACTGGGATTCTGCCACCAAAAAATGTGATTTATACAACACACATGTGGATATAGCCAATTAAGTAGAGTGGTTCACCTGAATCCGTTGATCTATGAAGATATATCTGGAGCCAGCAAAGCACTGGGGTTTTGCGCATTTTTGCTTGGTCAACGTGTGACTTTTGGGGTACCCTTTGATAATTTAACATAGCTATTGAAAATGACCATTTATAGTGGATTTACCCATTGAAAATGGTGGTTTTCCATAGCTATGTTAGTTTACCAGAGGGTATCCCGTTTCTGACCCATATCCCAGCTACCAAAGAAGTTGTCGGTAGGAAGTATGTCGCGCCCTACGTTACGTTGTGGGTCTTGGTGGGACTTCCAAAGATGAAGGTGCCGGGTGGCGCTGTGGAAATTTTCCAGTCATTTGGAAGATGATATCTTGCTGAAATGGTGAATAGTAATGAATATGGTATATTCCACAACGAATATCTCAGAAATGGTAGTTGGCTCAGCTGGCTCTTCACTTTCAGAACGAGGTTTTTTGTTGAGTAGTCTGGCAAGGTGCGTGCTTTCAGCATCTCAAACCACAATTACCTTTGTTGAAGCTGCCAAACCAAGATGGGTCAGATGTGATGCTGGACTGTCTCAAATGCTTGCCCGTGTATTTTACTCTTGTATGCGACCCTTGTGGAAGATGTTTCTCCTATGTCATCTTTTGGGTCATTTCCAGCCCTATATCTTGAGAAGCCATTTCGCTATGAGATTGATGAGATCCAATGGCAATGCTCCAAGTACCCCGAGCCCCAAAGTGTGTACCATGCCAGACGTGCCTCTAGGTGGGGGGAAAAACCTGAAACATGCGCCAGAAATTACCATGAACACGCATGTCCCGATCTGAACTGTCTATCCATTTTTTTCCTGTAGCCGCTGTAGCCCATCTAAGGGATTTTCAGAGACTCTGTGGTTGTTGGCTACACATTTCAATTTCTGCTTTTAGTCCCCACCGTCTCCACCCAAGTTGGCAGATACATTTTATATATGTGGCTTAGTCTCCTGAAGTCTTTCATCCAACTACCACAATTTAGTACTATCATCATCTATTATAGCAGTACTCAATTTATTATAGTAGTACTAAATAGTAGTATTATAATTTAGTACTAATCACTACGTGTAGTTATCACCTGTGGTTAGATTCTACACCTAGTGATCCTCATTGCCATGGCGGGCGGGCTGAAGCAGACGGAGCTTGTGACCTTCAACGTGCCACTTGGCTGTCCTTGGTGGCTGGAGAACGTTTGGAGTGTTTGGACCCAGGGGGGAATTTACCCAAAAAACATATTTTGGGATTATTTTTACCAGTAGCTATTAATCACTTTATAGATACATTTAGATACATTACTCACTTTTATCAGACAATAATAGTATCTAAGATTTTGGGATCATGTTGTTTTTTATTTTTCCTCATGATTTTGATGAGGAAAAATCAGGGTTTCATGTCACACAAATTCACAAAGCTGATCACAAAATTGTTTAGCATCGAATAACGATTGGGGATGCAAGCCACGAAAACAAACATAGGGAACTTGCCAGCAAAAATTGATGAGTGGATCAAAATTAAGTATCCAGCAGGGGATTCAACCGCCAGCCTCTTGGTGGGAACATTTCACCAATTGACTGAGAAATGCCGGAGGGTCAATTCAGATTATTGACATCAAAACCAGAAATGATTGGAATATTTTAGCATATGATATTGACATCTGCCCATAGTGGGGATTAAGCTGCCATGAAACTTTATTTACAGCAATTCATGTTTGCCCCGCAATGCGGATTAGTTGGTCCGTAAGATGAGTGGGTGATATGAGCGCCCTGGACTCATACAATCAGGATTGGCATTTTTAGAGTTTTCGATATGCCCTTCATCTTTTTTCATTTTACAGGTACTGTAGTTTTTTTTTCCTGCAAGGCCTCCTTTGATGAGCTTGAGGCCATTGACCGATGTCCGCTTCAGTTCTGAAATCTCTATGCGAGCTTTTGAGAGTGTATCGGGGATCAATCACCCCCGAGTTGATGAATAGTGGGGTTTAAGCCATTTCAGATTGCAAGTATGTCTGACTTAGGAACCCTCTATTGATAAATGACATAGTTACTGCTTAGTCCTGGCGTGGTACTAGGCCATTGGTATAAGTTCCTCAGCTGCTGTGAATCCAAGTTGTGTTCCACTGCTAGCCTTCGTGTGCCCATCTTGTGAAGGTTGCCCCTTAAGTTGTGAAGTATAACAACAGCAGGTGCACCGGACCGTTCCAACCGAGCACTTGTTCCCTTTTCTTTCTAGGTTGCGGTCCGAGAAATTTTTCAAGCAAAACCTGGATATCTAACCAAATCCCAACCTCCATGCATCCAAATGCTTTTGTCACCCAGGGGCGGCAAGATCTACCAAGTGCTGCGGGAGCCCACGCTGAGTTTGCATCCGACCTCATTGCTGACGCAGATGGCAGAGGATCAGAAGGATGACACGCCCATCTTCGTGGAAGGTCGTGGGGAAGTGGGGATTTTGCAGGCTGAAGTCATTCAAACTTGGAATGATGTCGCTTCATGTCCATTCCTTTCCTGGTACTTGGGACTGCTGATAGGCAGAGTGCCAGCAAGATTGCTGTGTTTGCGTTTTTCCTTGCCAAGTCAACGACATGCTGTTTCAGTGCACTGCAACGCCTCATAAATAGTATCGGTATTAGTATATCTAGTATACACTCTTTTGGCCCGGCTGGCCCCCGATGCAAGTCAGTATGTGTTGTTTTTCCCCAACAGTGTCAGGTTAGGGGTCTCAGCCCAGATAAGGTTCGGTGCAGCTTCCGGTGCGGGTTCCGTTCTGGAAGTTGCGGTGCGGGGGTTCGGGCTGGTTCCGGGAGTCAGTGTGGAGTTCCGGGATGGTTGAGGTTCCGCAGCTTGACTTTGTTTTACTGCAACTTCAACTGTGCGTTTGAGGTGTGCTTCTCCATCTTCTCCGCGCAACGCGCGCGCGCGCACATACATATATTGCAGTGGTTCAAAATCAAGTCGCGCCCCTTGCCAGGGTTGCAGTTGTTTCCGCATTTTCCAACCAACTTCGCTGTTTCCGATGCCACCTAGGTTTATTTTCTTCAAAACCTTGCTGGTAATTTACCTTGGTAGTCTCCATTTTGCGAGCTTGGAACCATGTGACTTTTTTTTTGGGATGCTGGCCCTACCAAAATTTAAATTTTCCCGTGGGTGGCATCATGCACCACAAGTTCATAGACAAAGCGATTCTCAAACCATCAAGTGACCACCAAGTCTTTCGTTAACACCGATCCTGGTGTCGTTGAGGGTCCTAAATTTCATTGAACTTCTGAAACAAGTTTCGCTTCTTGGGGGTCATCAATTTTGTTCAAAACAATGCAGTTGCTTTCTCATACCATGATGCAAACACGCCACAAAACTTGTCGCAGGCAACCAGGATCTCTTCCAGTACGTGCTGGACTATCACCGTGATCGCAACTGGAAACAGTCACGACGAACCTGCGTGGGGTGACCCTACAATGGTATACGGTAACCTTTACCCAAAAGTAAGGCCTGTTCAAGGGGCGATCAACCCAAACTACACTAGTTTGTGGTCTCAACTATCATCTTACTTGGGATTACAATCCCAAGTAACATCAGGTATAGATTTGGTTAAAGTCACCGATCAGCAACATTAATTTGTACCTGTGATGCGATTTGAATATCGATTGCATAGATTTATTGGCTGGTATCTTCACATTTCTTCACATATTTGCAATTCAATTTTGCCCAGCTTCGCCCATATTTCCAGACAGTGATGCTTGACATTTTTTTTGACCCATTTGGATCCACATGAGTTTTCACGACCGTGGGCTTTGAGGGGCAACCTCCGTTTTCCCAGATTTCACTGCTAAATATGACTCTAAACAAAACTACTGAAGCAGAGTTAAATGATCAAAATCCACCATTTCTGTAGTTTGGTTGATTAAGCTGTCACCAAAAGGCACCCTTGGCACCCCAAGGCAAGGTGAATCTCCCCATCACCGTCTCCAAAGATGCCGTGCTGCGTGAGTTGAAGCGCTACAACTTGGAACCGGCAGATGATCAGTGATTCGGCAAGGGCGACTCCAGGGCAGGGGGAGGGCGTGACAAATCGTCTACGGATGTCTACGGTAGGGGGGCTTGTTGTTAGGAAGCTGTTGACACAAAATGTTGACATGATGACGGGGACCTTTTTGAGATGGAGACACCTCGGCAGATCTTTTTTCATCGAATGAAGCACGAATTGTTTGAGTTGAGCCGAGTTTCTGCCTTGACAGTCAGGTGTGCAACTGACATGAGCTTTTCACGACCTAGCTGAAGGGACAATTCGTGGTGCTTCCAAGACTTATTTTCCATCCTGGGGATGACGATTCCAATGAACTTCTTCGATGGGTTGATACCAAGGATACTCTTCATCCCCACCTGTGCTCGGATGGATCATCCAATAGGATCAGTGGGCACCCGCCGGCCCCTGAATGGCTCTGCATTGAAGGTTTGTTGAAGGACCAAGGTGTTGAGGCAACAAGTTCGGGACATGTCCAGATGTTTTCAAACATGAAATAATGGGTTGATCCAAATCTGAATCTTCGACAGCAAGGATCGTTGAGGATGGCATTTGCTACCCTTCGGTGAAGCGAAGGATGACGCGCTTTGAAGCCGAACTTCGAGAGCAACAGAGGCAAACTGCGGCTGTGTTACTGGGCCAACTCTATGCGCAAGCAGCACTGCTAAAGGTGTCGCAGGATGAAGGGGAAGGTTTCTATGTTTCTGCGCTAGATGTGGAGAGAATGCTCTCCTTTGACAGAGATCACAAGGAAAGACTCGCAGGACAGAAAAGTTTGGTCTTCAAACTCTTCGGTGGTGTGTCGCCTCAAATGCTGCAAGAGTCGGAGAGTTTGCAAAGATTTGCCAGGTCATACGGATATTCAACATCAGTGAGTCAGAAACGTGAGGAGATGTTGGCCTTCGACATTGATTTCGACGTCGCAAATCAACAGGATTGATTGACTTGTGAAATTGTAGGCGCATCATGTGACGCAGCTCCATCGAATAAAATGCGAGATTTGCATTGCCGAGAGTTGTGGGGACGGGTTGAGCAGTATCAACAGCACGTTACGATGAGTGGTGTGCTTTTGAGGCTAGCCAAGTGATCCTCCAAAATCGCTTCTTTATTCAGATTATTGACTGTTTATTGTAGTTTGTTTCACATCTCCCAACTTGACTGTTTTGTTCAGCAAACCTCTCATTTTTGATGTGTTCATCCTTATTCGTAGTCTGGCTGGTTCACTCCATTGTAGTTTTGTTTTGACTATATTATTGTCGTGGCTTAAACTTGGTCGCCCATGTTTGGTTCCAAAGGAGAAAAGCTGAAGCCAACAGAGGCAACTACGGTATCAAAATGTCGAATAAGCAACTCTTTTAATGGTTCCCAAGACGATAGAATCCGATAGAACAATAAAATCCAATCTGAAAATAGTGGTAAATCATTTTGCTATCCTTTCGTGGCGTACAAATCTGAAATAAGGCTTCAAATGATACTTTAAAATCATTTTTCACTCCAAAAATCGATTCTTTTGAAACTCTACAGCCTCTCCGCCAGTTGCCCACTCCGCCGGGCTGCTGTCCGCCGCTGCGCCGCAAAGCGGCGCTGCCTCCGTCGCTGCGGGGCAGCGCCAAAGGCTCATCAGAGGCGATGTGGTGAAAGGCACCGTGGGAACTGGTGAAAACCGGGGATTTTTTGGGAGCTTGCCACGGTTTTTACCACCGAAGATATGTTTGTTTTGTTTTTTTTAAGGAAATATGCGTTTACTACATGTTTTTAAAACAACCAACATGGAGATTTTGGGTGATTTAACTCAGAAAAAGTGAGACAACTTGGAATTTAAGCATTGAACCTGTGGATTCGATCACCAAAAACAGGGATTTGCCTGCAAAAAATTTGGATGTCAATGATTTTAGCATCCAAAATTGGCGTTCAACCACTAAAGATCTGAATCAATCACCAAAAAGTGGGATCTTACTGCCAGACTGGGATTTAACCACTAAACATCTGGATTGAAGCAGGATGGTATGCATCAAAAAAATGGAACTTGTCCAGCAATCAGGTGGATTAAGTCACCCAAAAAATGGAGTTTCGCCACCAACGATGCGGTCATTGATCACCAAAATGCAAGGTTTCTGTGAAAAGGTGAAGAGTTGGCAAAACAACATGCTGGAATTGAACCACCAAAAACTGCAAGTTGAAGATATGGATTCAATCAACAAACATGGGGTGAACTGATAAAGTTGTGGATGGCCAAAGTGTTGCCCAGGATTTCTGGCGCTCCAAAACAGGATGAATACCGACGTCACTGTTAATTTGTCGTCAGGTTCAGGCGAATCACCCTCAAATTCCTAACCTTTCAGGTTTGCGAAGTATTGCACTTGCAGCACATCAGTTTCAAACCCGAACAAACCCGAATCAGTTCACCGTCATGAATCTGATATTTCTTGCTTGGTTGAGTTCTGTCAGCATTTGTGTCGGCGGAATCCCAGCACAACTTGATTGTGCCGATTCGCGGCTCCAAATCACGCCATTTCCTCTGGAGTCACCCAATTTGGTTTCCATGGCCACGTGGAAAAGTTCAGGGGATTTGGCGATGGCAAAATCTCACCGTTTCATCGTTGAACCCTTCAATTTTCAGTGCCAGGAGCACATGACAGTTGCATCGCGTTGCTCACAGAGATGAACGATGACAGCTGGCAGCCTCACTTTCGGTTCCCGGCAGTGGTCCAGAAAGATCACATGTGTCAAAAATCGAAATTCGCGGCAGTGTTTTGCTGTGTCCCTGGCCTGTCGAAGAACAACGCCAAAACAAACATCACATTTACTTGGAGGATGGCTCTGGAAAAGAATTGGGCAGTGTGGTGGCTTTGCAAGAACCAGATATGTTTCAGCAATTCGAGATGATGGCGTGTGTGATATTTTCGAAGACCATCGCAGGGGTCTCAGTGGTGTGTTTAAGCAATTGGTCGAATGGATGGAATGGTCGCTGCACGGCTGTGCAGGACATCGGCGTGGCAACCAGGGTGCACTTCAACTTCAACCCGACAAAGTCCCGCATGCGAGTCGGGTATGCATCAAACGATTGTTTGTTCCGGGCCAAAAATCATGCGCAGTGGTTGCTTATCAACGTTGATGTTGACGAGTACATTTTTATTCAGGTGGTGGTCATTGTCGAACGGCTTGGGACGAAATTCTACGATCTTTCCACGAGGATCCAGACAAAGTTCACAGCATCTCTTTGCAAAGGATTCGTTTTACTCGAGCGGTTCCAAACAAACTTGAAATTTCGTCCATGCACAGAGTGCCAGCAATGGAACCCTTACAATTCCAACACAGATTGTGCACGTTGACCTCGCAGAGTGTCGATCCACGAGGTTGAAATCTTTGATGACACCAGAGCGGTGAAAGCCGGACCAGTCGCCATCGTGCATCACCACAGAATGCCGTACGGGGTCACTGCGTGGATTACGAACATTTTGATTTTGTGGATAAGAATGCAACTATCGAAGATACCTCTCTTTTGCCGGGTGTACCCATGTTAGAAGCAGCGATCCAACAACGCTTCGGGCTCAAGGGACAAGAAGATCTTAAAGAAATCTTGGAGGGGTTGTCGGAGCGACGTATTGTCAGGAAATAGAAACCGTTGTTGCAAAGTCCGACTTGAGAAATGAAGTATTGCACTTGCCATGAATCTAATTTATCTCGTGTTTGTGTGCCTTTCTTTAAGGGAAATGTACATGTTACATGTGTGCATCCTGACCAAAAGATATCACTGATGAACATTTTTAGTGCGCACCCGACACATGCACTTGGACTTGCTTAGGTCTTTCTGTGAACCGAATATTATGGTTTTCTTTAGATGGTTGTAATATGTTGTAATACTGTAAGTTGACATATGGTCAAACTGTCAAACCAGTGATTAAACAACTTGTTTGATTCAAACTTGTTCGATAGAAACACTATGACTTCATTGTGATTTGATCGTGCCTTTTATTGTGTCTTGTTTCATCCCGTGTTTTTGTTTGAAACCTCTCGATCTTTGAAACATTTTGAAACGGGGGTTGTTCAAAACGATCGTGTTGTTGAATGGTTGGGACAACAAGTTTCATGTTTATTCAGGGTTATTAAACAGCTATCATTGGGGGTTCACCCTGAAAAATCCCCATGGTGACCTTCCTACCATCACGTCGGTCACAGGCCTTCAACGACTTCTGCAACTTGGAGTGATGAAGCCAGTCATTTTGGGAACGGGATCCAATCATGGTTGTGTACTTCCTGTACTGAAAAATATTCCAATATTCAGTGAAATATACTTAAATATACTGAAATATGCATATTTATGGATCCAAGCTGGGAGTTGAATCACCAAATGTGGGGAACATCCCAGGTCCGGATCCCGTCGCCGGCTCGTCGCCGGTGCCGCTCAGGTCGCTCACAGCAGCTGGGCAAATTGTGTGCCACGTGGGCTCGGCAGGGCTCCTGCAGTTGTCAGGCGGGTCGCTGAAGTCGGTGAAACTGAAGTCGGTTTCACACATGGTAGGAACAATGGATATGCCATATGCAACCACCAGAATCTTTAAAAAACTTGGATAGAAGCATGGTATCTCCGAGTATCTCCTTCAAATATGTTTTTTTTTTCACGGAATACAACCAACCAAAGTAGAGATGAACGGTATTTAAGCAGGAAAAGGAGGGATTTCACCCAGATTTTTGTTTGCACAGGTGGGGACGAACGCTGTCAGGGATGGGGATGTAAACCACAAGGATCAGGATTCTCAGCAAGAAAAGTTAGGGTTTCACCATCCAAAAAGGAGGTGGGCACTGAAATTACCCATTTCGAAAGGGTAGGCATGTAAGACTTCTTGGATACCCCAAGAGCACAAAAAAAAACGGACATCTTAGCAACACATCTCAAAATATGAACTATATGAAGCCACAAAAATGGTCATCTCAAGAACAAAGCAGGTACGAATGAGCCATCCATCCTACTTTCATATCAGCAACACAGAAAATCTCCCATTAACATCAATCCCCTGGCTGCTGCTGCTCAAGTATCCCACCTCCAATGAAAACAGCGATGCAATCTGCCACTTCACCCCCCCAAATACGGAACTTGCCAACAGGTTTTTGACACTCTGACCAGTAACGCTTTGGTACAGCATGCTTTTGGCGCACGCCGCAAAAAAAGTGGAAAATTGAACTCAAAATTAGGATCAAGCAGCTACGAAGTGGGGAAAGAGTTTGGAACCATCAGAAGCCTCAACAATTGGACGACCGTTTGGCAAACTCCACTTGCTTGATTGTTCTGTAAACCTATTCATTGCGAGCAGTAATAGGTACATGAAGGTTTTTTTGGGCTAGCTGCTGCAATTAGTTAAGAACATCAAATTTTCAGATGATCATGCGCGACTTTTGAGACAGGACAAAAACTGGGTTTTAGACCAGTCTTGAACAGCAAAGTTTGGAGTCTTGACCCACAAAAAAGGGAGATTGAAACAACATGATGGTGTGCCAATACCATTTCCAAACTGGGTATGTGTCAATATTTAAGCCGTCATCCACTCACCAACAGATCTTCGTAAACTATCCAATGTTATCTAAAAATAGGTTTGAACATGAATTTCAATGGCATGAGGATAATTGATCACTCGATAAATGAATATACATGATGGGTAATGTTATCGTGGTCAATGAGATTCAACTATTGGTGGCTTAATCTTCATCAACTCTTTGGGTAAAAATCCACCCTTTTTTTTGGGCCAAAATGAATCAATCCAATACTAACCCGTGGTGAGGGATTATTGGAACTAGGGAGATGGGATTTCGCAGAAGTTATCAGCCATTTGTGGCTCTTATTGGGCCAAGTTTTCCCAATTCCATCGACGTATTCTTTTGGTGATCTCCCTGCAGGGTCCCTTCGTACATCCTCAAGGGGATGAGGCCAGCCAGGTGCAAACTCAGCATTTGGATGTCATGGAGCTTTCCCAATTGGTGGTGACTGGAACATGGCTGGATTATGACTTTCCATTCAGTTGGGAATGATCATCCCAACTGACGAAGTCCATCATTTTTCAGAGGGGTGGCGAAAAACCACCAACCAGTTTCTGTTTTGTCATGGAGGTACCCCCTATTTTCATCCCGTCGTCGATGGCTTATTGAAACAACCATGGTGACTTATGGGGATCCCGCTTCGGAAACCTCGAGGCCAGTTGGTTGGATTCAGCCAGTGGGATGGGACTCATCAATCCATGGATTCCATGCCCATTATGAAAGAGCAGCAGTCTGGGTCTATGGTTTCAATATGTTTCAATATGTTTCAATGATTTCAGTCTGGGTCAATGCGAATTGAATCCATTGGGAGTAGACCCAGTAAACCACCATTTCTTGACCATGGCACATATCTAGAGCATTCTGCCGGTAGGGTCAGTGGAGGTCCGGAAGCTGCTGAAACGCTTTCGGATCGACCTCGAGGACGGTTTTTCGAGCTTAGCTGGTGACCCGGGGACTTGAAAAAATGGGGGGGGAACTCATTCTGCGCTGTTTCTTGGGGTTTCTTTCTATATATGTTTCGAAACATCGTTTTTTATCCCATTCTTCAACTTTAAGGGGTTTGATGGTTGTTGAGTGTTCTGAAGATGTTGCGGGGGAACAAGTTGAAGAGTCTTGAACAGTTGGATATTCCAATTATATTTCTGTATTTACAAAATGGTGTTTTCTTTTTTGATGTTTTCTGATGGTAAACCACATGATTTGGGGTGTATGAGCTGCATCTTGCTGGTGATATGTTTGGAGCGTAGGAAACCACAGCTGGGTATGGTCCGAAAACTGGCCAAAGAGATCCAAACTTCGGTCATGCTCGGAAGCAATACCATCCATCGTTGGGATGTGTATGCCCATGGAAGTTCAAAAGATTCAGTACATTTAGCATTCAAGTTTTCCGGCTCTTGGACTCTAGATTATGGCATATAATGGCCATTTGTAAACAGGTGAAGCGAATTGCATCCACAATTACTGATCATAAGTGGAGTGATTAACCCCAGTAAACAACTATTTGTGCACGCATATAAGCCTGCTCTAAGGCATGGGTAACAACGTTTAGCAGATCATGGTGGGATTCTTCCCGATTGCCTCACTTCCGGGCCAACCTTGGCACGGTAGAAGCGATGACTTTTCTGCGATCAACTAAGCATCCCAATCATATCGTGATATCCCATCAATTTCATCCCATGTATGTTTTTTTTTTTAATCATAATTGTACAGTAATGTACATACTGTATGTATACTAATATCAATTGTACATACTAATATGGCTATGGATCAATACCTAGTAATACCATTTTTAGGGGGATGAACATCCATTTACCAGCTATTTTGATGTTCACCAGGGGTACAAGGTTTTGACACACTGCCATATCATCTGATTTCCCTGAAGCCTCGATGATTTCATGCTCTCTTCATGAGCTCATTTCAGGTGGGTGATTTATTGTAACTCATCCATATTACAGCATATCATATATATATATATCATCCACAAAAAAAGCATTGCATATCATACAATCCACATCAATCCACTATTTCCAATCATCATCCACTATCCCATGATATCCCTCCTATAAAATGCTTGGTCTCAAAGACCCCGCATTTGAAAACCGCCCGAGTCGTCCTCACAGTGGGCTGTGATGGCAGGAGGCAGACGACTCGCAAGATGTCAAGCGATCGAAAAAAAGACACACAGCGAGCTGAGGGAAAGCGGGGCGCAATGGGGGAGACCTATGGAGCTGGCCCGAAGACCAACCGTATTTCCCCCAAAATATGGGATGGTTTTAGATGGTTTCGTGCTAAAGATGAGTTCTCTGGGTCCATGCCATGGGTATCTCAAGTTTCATTTCTCGCCTTCACTGGAGCAACAAGCGTCGTGATAGATGATATAGATGGGATCCCAGGAATAGAAGAATCAGCAGGGTTAAGTCCATCCAAATAGTTGATATCCAATTTATTGAGTTGGTTGATCTGAATTACCGTCATAAAATTGCTTGATATCCCACTTTTACTGCTGCTTATCCCCATAAGCGGGTGATCAATTGACCCAAAAGTTCTACGGAAATACCTATTGATATTGTCATCCCCCAAAAACATAGACACGAAAGTAGGGATTTTCTATCTGGGGATACCTATGAGTCTATGAGCTTTATCCAAAAATATCTCCCTGGTAACGTAGCGGGGTGTAACCTCGGGTCATCCCTCGTCTCGACCCAGGCTCAGTTGCGAAGTGCGGCGCACGGAGGTGACGAACCGCGGCACCGGAGCACCTCGGATGGTTTGAAACGGCCACGCTTCGGGTTGGGGGAACTCTCCAGTCATAAAGACATCAGAAAGCGAGCTGGAAAAATGATCATTTACCCTCTGGTAAATTAACATAGACCCTGAAAATCTCATTTACCCATATTTACCCTCTTGTTATTTAGCATAGCCATGGTATAGATGGCCCATTTATAGATGATTTTCCCGTTAAAAGCTCCATTTATGTTGGGATTTTCCATGGCTATGTTAAATAACCAGATGGTAGTTTGAGGAGTTACCCTCCAGTAAATTAACATAGACGCCAGATGGGGGTTTTGTTGGATTAGTTTCCACTCAAACATGATCGATTTTCAGGGTCTTTCTAGGGTCTATGTGAATTTACCAGAGGGTAAATCAACTAAATTCAGGGTTTCAAAACTTTGATATCCAATGGTCTCCTGAATCTCACCCCAAAATCCCCATCGAAAAATCCCAGAAATCGATAAGCCCAGGTCGTGATGCCGCGAGTTGGGAGTCCCAGCGGATTCAGCAGGTCACCGGCGAACGGGCAGGTTATCAAAATGGGAGAGATCCTCTGGTAATTGAACAGTTTCCGACTGGGAAATCACCATCTTTCAATAGGTAACTCATGAAACTAAAATATGATCATGTTCCATTTCTTTTTCTAAGTTTAATGAAGAGACATCTGCCATTTGCCTGGTTGCGTCAGAAAAATAACTAGGGGTGACTTTGGAATTTTGTTTGGTTTTGACGCAGACGAAGCCCCTGAGGTGTGGGTCCAGGGCCGATTCCGGCGCCCCGAACCGCGCGGTTTAGCGCCGAAAAAAGTGGTGCGCGGACTTGACCAGTGAAGAATTTCTGGAGCGACGTTGAACTGGGCAATAAGGGGTTTCCATAGATGGGGTTACCCCTATAGCTGGATGGTTATAGCAAACTGGGGGATCTCACCTTGTATCACCTTCAGGCTGCCAACCAATCCATTGAAAATTCTACATGTTCTAAAGGCAAATGCGTCAGGGTCAAGACTTGGGTGAATTGCTATTGGGGGATGGTCATCCATGATGTTCCTCCCGTTTCCATGGTTCCAAGGTTAGCCCAAAAAACTATTCCGTGATGTGACTTGCATAACTCTGTGAATTGCTGGGTTGATGAATGGGGTATAGATATATATATATATTATATCTGGGTAAATTTCATCACGACCGAACCCTGTTCTCCCGAAGCCTGGAATCATGGTTAATAAGGGAAATCATCCCCAAATGGCCCAACTATTCAGGTGTGTGAAATATTATAGTCTACCGAGAACTACAGTTAATGGGTGTATAAAGCAGCCAACATCACTGGGGGCTCTCACCCAGACACTCCCAAAGATGGGATGGAGCCAGCATAAGATCAAGCATTTATCAGTTGTGGATGAAGCCCATACGTGATATCACCAATATATCACCCATGTACTTTGATTTTGACCACTTTTATCACGGCTTGACCTGACCACTTTGGTTTGCAGAAACCCTGGAACCCAGAAACCTGCGAAGATGTCGCCTCGTCACTTGCCGTTTTTTTTCAAGCTTGAGGGGACGCCAACCCCACCCGGGGAACCAAGAGGTGCTGAAGCTGCTGGGTGAAGTAGCCATGAAGTGGCGTATAACTATTGTTGAATTAAAATATAATAAAATGAATCCGCCCAAATCATAATAAACTCACTTAAGTTTGTTAACCAAGCTAATTCTATTTGGGGTTATTTGATAGTTTAATAAGTTTAACACCATCAAGTGGTGTGTAAACCATCCCCAAATTCATACGGACCCTGCCGTCTACGGGGGTTGGAATACTACATTCCCTTGAAAAGTAGCGCGATTCTCAGGGTGGATGGTCAGATAATCAGGGATTTCCATGGAGCTATACAATTTTGATGTGATTTTTCGGGGATTTTGACCATCAAATGTGGATGTTAGCCTGGTAAACCCAAGAATAGGCACCAGCTGGGGATAGTTTCTACCACTTCTGGCAAGTCATTGGGGCTGGTTTAATTATTGCGTTTATCACATCAATTAAACCATAACATAACATATGCACAATATATCCAGATTACATCCAGACGATTCGCAATTTTTCATCCCCAGGATTGATCATGATTGGTAGTCTGCTGTAAAACCCATTACCAACGAAATCCCCATCGTGTTGATCATAAGCTATAAAACACACCCATTAAACATTGGAGATGATTTGGTAATGAGAGATAAATTAATTGCCTAGTGTTGGTCATAGTAACACGCTAATTTCCATTTAAGGAATCAAATTCCATAGCGTTGGTCATAAGCCCTTGAATTTCCCCCTCTATCCCATTGGAGATGATTTGCTATAAAACAAACTCATTTTAAACCACAATTAACCTCCCTATTGTCAGTCATACCCTCTGGTAATCAATGTTTGATTGGTGAGGAGCAATGGCCTAGTAGGGTGGCCCGACCAGGCGCAGCGGGATGTTCCCGTCACAAAATGGTGAGTTGAAACACTTAAACCATTGGGAACATGGTGATTTATCCCACAAAATCATTGGATTTCATGGGACTTCTATGCATTTTCCAACTTACGCAGGACTGACGTTGTTGTTTTATGGCTACAACCACACTGATAAAGCCCCATCAGTTGGGATAAGTTGGGATATGGGTCCCCTATGACTATGGCACTATGGTGAATTACATCCAGGATTTTTGTTGGAGACACCATGAAAACTTGGCCTCGCTACTTGGGCTTTTCCGGCTCCGTGGAACTATCCATGGAATCTGGGAGGGAAGTGTTGTCGCTATCCCCCGATAGCTGACAGACAGTTATAGGAGGTTTTTACTGCAATCTGAAGTCTACAGAGTCTACCCGGCTTTGTTGAAAGATGAATGTGTTTTTTTTTTTCTTTTTTTGATCATCTTGGGAACACTCCAAAATCCAATGGTTCGGCCAGGCCCTGCCTGATGTTCGGCGCCTTTGACGGCTTCGCCGTGGAGCAACTTGTCGATCGAAGCTTCGGGGACCTCCAACTGCCATGACCAAACCCGTGGGACTTAGATTGGGATAACTATCCGAAGTTATGGCCGAAGGGTTGGTGAAATATTTCCAACTTATCCAGATAGGTGGTGTCCACTTTTCCACTGGTTGATTGACGAATAGAGCGTTTAACAAGTTTAACAAGTTTAACAAGTTTAACCCCATATGAAAAATCTACCAAGAGGTAAATGAGATATCAAACCCTAAACCCTTTTTTTTCTATAAAAGGTTTCATTGCAGGTAGGAAATCATCCTCTGAGAATGGCCGTTTGATTCGATCTCAAATGGGCCATGGTCATCCCCCGTGGGAAAATCTATATTTCTTATTGCTGGGAATCTAATATACTGAGGAGGGACTATCCCCATGTGTAAATATGGAGGTTTCCAAAGTCATGGGGGTACCCCCAGTCATCATCCATTGAATCCATTTTATTTTTGGATTTTCCATTGTAAACCATCCAGTATTGCGGGTATACCCTCATTTATGGAACCTCCAGATGCATACCTCAAAAAAAATCAATCATGTATGATGGTGGGATGACCAGGGTCCATTAACAACAACTATGCCGTGTGAATTGCCGTGTCTCGACGTCCCTACAGCCGAACAGCCAGCTACCCCCACAATCCACTGGTGAATATCCATTTTACCCATTCAAATTGCTTCCTTGGTGCCAAAAACTCCATGTTTCAGACGCATCCAAATATCATCCGAATATCCCATTCAATTTGGTGATATAAATAAATACATAAATATGATATGTACATCATAAAATATCCCCATTATCTTCACATGAATAGGGGATATTAAGACCCAGAACTCCCCCTTAGTGGACCTCCCAGTCGCTGGTCATATGGCATCCTGACATCCCAGTTTTCAAGATGCGGACGTGATCAAGATCTTCGTTCGGAGGTGCCAAGTTTGACCAAGTTTTGCCAACGTTGGTGGATGATGATGGTATGGTTTGTTTTAGATAAACAGGTTCTTTATTGGTTAAATGATTAACTGTTCATTTTTCTGATGAAATCACCATGTTTGTTGGTCAGATTTCGTTTTGTTGCTTCAATAGTGGGCGGAGCGTGGTGAATGGTTGGTTTCTGGGTTGATTTTGTGTGTTGGCATCTTGCGATATCCCACTGAAATCACTGAACATGTTTTTTTTCTTTTTCCGCAGGTCAGGTTAGCCGTGAAGTGATGGGATGAAGTTTCAAGTTTGGGTCCATGGCCAGTAAAAGGATGTAAAAGGTGTAAAGCCATCAATGCAGGTGGTTTCTACTCTTAGTCAGTTGAATTGCTGGTCTTTCATGGCTCCATTTCCAATCACCTCATCCTTGTCCAATTCCGTGAATCAATTGCTTGGCAGTTTCAAAGCCTTGTCATTTTCGACATTTTTCGACCATAGAAATGGCATGATGATGGATGATGCCCAATGACTGCGGCTCATATTTTTGAGGGTGGCTCAACCGACTGGGGCCCTATCACCTCAGCTCCAGCGTTGAACGGCGGGTTCCAGAGTGGTACCCCAGTTGGATAGCTAATTTGGGTGTCGATTGAGTGTTGGATGGCAGATTTCTTGAAGAGTTTAAAGGGGACACTGACATGAAAATATGTGTTTACTCCACCATTCTGCAGGAGATCCCTCAAAGCGGATCTGTGGTATCTTCAACCATCATCCGAGCGGTTCGTACCCATTACTGCTGGATCCCGAGCGGCCGTTTGGGTTCATCAAAGCACGTGGGTATGCCTCAAAATCATGAATCCATCAATTCCCCAAAAATTGGTCATCCTTGAGTACAACGCTAGTAACTAGCCGCTAGTAGAGCAATAGTCAAAACCATCCCGAATTTTACACGTTTGATCAGTAACCCAAATATGGCTGGTTGACGCTCTACTAAGAGTAGATGATATCCCTGGTTTTTCAAGCAGGGCGAATCCATGTGAATCGGCCCTGTTAATCTACTAAGTGGGGTGGTTCACCACCTAACATTACTAGACTGGAGGGTGAACGATCTAACATTATACATGGGTCATTAAATGTCCCCATTGAACATCACCCAACCATTAGGTATATGGTCTATTAGAGTCTATAATGGCTACTATTTCAGGTGATGTCCAATATACCCAAAATGGGACAGTTACCAACCCCTGTTATAGGCCCAGTGATAAGGGGATTCACATTACTAGGCCCAGCCGAAGTGAGATGGCCAGGAACGGCACTTCCGATGCGCTTCGAGAGGTTTTGTGGGGCACTTCAGCACGGGTTTTGTTGGGTCGTTCAGCGTGGAGTTCGTGGTGATCTGCTTGGAAAATCTTGGAAAAAATAAGTACAAACATAAACTCACATAGCTATTGAAAATGGCCCAGTCGAAATAGTGGATGTTCCCATTAAACATGGTGATTTTCCAGTTCGCTATGTTAGTCATTACCAGAGTTTCCCAAGTCATGGGGGTACCCCAATGTTCATCCAGTCGTCATGGGGAATCACGGGGATGGCAAATTTGAAGCCCACATATGAACTATGTACCCTCTGGTTATTTAAGATGGTTTACCTACTAAAAAATGGTGATTTTCCGTGGCTATGTTAGTCATAACCAGAGGGCGTATGGTTGGTATCTTTGAATCCGGACTGTGCTGTGAGACCAAAGCACGGTTGATTTGAAAGGCACACTGCTGAGCTGACGAGCCACGGATATATATGTGTACATGAGATTTTAATTCAGGCACTGTGAGAATTCACCAACGTGAGGCTAAAAATGCAACACCTTCATTTGGGTTTGGGCAGATGACAACATGGAATCGGAGATGTTGTTTTCCCAGCTGGGATTGTAACTGGATTGAAGTAGTTCAATCCCCATTTTTGTTGGTTAAATCCCTGGATGTCTGCTGCGCAGAAGTCCCAAAAAACACATGTTTTCCGCAAGAAAAAACGTGGGGAAAACTGACTTTCAATGGGGATTTCCTCCAATATTCAACATATGTATCAGTTATCCCCAGTTTTTTGAGGTAAACTGATGCTCCAATCCCCAGTTCTTGCTGGTTTCCTACTTCTGAAGCTCCGGATGTCGCGCGGATTTCGCGCCGAGTTTGCCGCCCAACTCCAAGATCTCAGACCTTCTGGAGAAGTGCACCAAGGTCAGCGGAAGGTGATTTATTAATTGATGTGGAGCTTTCCATAGCCATGGTACCCCATGGTACCCCCAAATGGTTGGTGTGTTTCATGGAAAATCGCAATCTAATAGCTGGATGATCTAGGGATATCCGCATGACTTTGGAAACCTCCATGTACCTATGCTTGTGGTGATGAAAGTGCCATTATAACCATTATAAACCATTATAACATATTATAAACATTTTTGCCATAGTTATTACCATAATTAATTACCACTATTACAACCATTATGACCCTAAAAACATCTAGCGCCTTTTTCCCCAGCGAACAATGCAGCAAAAATTTCTCGCTCCCCCTCTGGCAGGCACTCGAGTTGGAGACTCCGGCCGCCAAGGCCGGTTCGATGGAATTCCCATAGTTAACTAAGTTGGTGCAAATAACTCCCATTTCACTATGGTTTATGGCAGATATAACGAACTAGTATTCATGGGGTTTATAAACCAACGTTCACATCACTGGGGGGCACCATCCTGTAGGGCATGTTTCATATAAATCCCTATGAAATCCCATTGATATATATCATATTTGATATATGATATATGATATATATATATATACACTATTTGATATGGAATGTTTGATATATGGAAATTTTCATATAGGAATTCTTTGATACAGATAGGAAAATCACCATTTTAAATCAACTATAATATTAAAAAAATAATAGAAATTCTAATTAGGATGGAAGAATATGAAAGGATTCAGATAGAAATTCCTAGGAATTCATGAACGGGATGTGTTTTTTTTTTATTTATTTTTCGGAGTTTCCCAAGAACAGGTTCAAAAATTGAACGAAAAATCGATGAAAATTGGCTGATCGATTTCCCCTCCTCGAAGTTGGTGAGTAACTCTGGTCGACATCACCGCTGCTTCGCTGGTTTTATGCAGGAAATATCCCCCATTGGACCAAAGTCATGGGGGTACCCCCAGTCATCCATTGATAGATGGATTTTCCACAAACCATCCAACTATTGGAGTACCCCCATGACTTTGGAAACCTATTGGATACCTACAAAGTATTTCAAGTTGATGAATTCTTGTTATCCAGCATTGATCAAGGTCCGTCTTGAATGGTATCCCGAATCAAAGTCATGGTGACGACTGGGGATTCGCCACTGAAACAGATCCATGAACCCAATATAACCTATATATGGCTGGTGATATTCCATACATGCCTACAGAAATGGGGCCCCCTTCTACGTTATGTTTGTTGGTTTATAACCCCATCTAAACATATTTATAAGATTTTATAAGTATCATACACTATTACCATCTATTACCAGTATAGTTACATTGCCCAACTTAGCGAACGAACTGGGGCCCTGTGGCACCCACGTGTCGCAACAGTTGCGCAGTCCTCAGCGCTCGGCGCAGGCATTCCATTCCAATGGCGTGGAATGCACCGATGTGGATCAGGTCGATCAGGTGTCGCTCGCTGGTCGCTGTTGATTGTGGAGAGTTAGCTCTCCTCATTGGTGTCTCCATCAACCCATTTTACAAGGGTTCATCATAGTTCATGACAACTTATAAAACCCCCTCGAGTTTAAAGCCGAAGTGCTTGGATGTTTTTTGGGAAACCAACTTCTACGGCTGGAAATGGTCCAAACTGCGGCAAGTTTTTGGCACATCCCAACACGGTGCCTTCCAGCAACAGATTTGGAAGATGATTTGCGACCCTCCAAAACCGCCACATGCCCACTGGCTTGAGTGCTTGAAGAGTGAAGTTGTCGCCACATTTTGGCACTGAAAGCCATGATACTGTGGATGGTTGCGAAATCCTGCACCAGTTGAAAACGGTGGTTAGGCTTTCTATCATCGGTGGTGCAGGAATTCTTAACCATCCACATCACCGCAGATATGATGATTTCATGATCCAGCAGCCGGTTTGTCCCCATCCAATGGGCTTTCGATTTCGATGAAATGACCGAAATCCATCAATCCGAAGGATTTTGGGATGAACAGATTAGTAAGATGTAGTAACTGCAACATACTGCAACCAAATAGTAACCATACAGTAACCATAGTTGGCTCAAGATTTTCATCTCAGGCCTTCCTCCAGGGACTCCGCGAAAAACGCCATGTTGCGCCTGGCCTTTACGGCTCTGCTGTGCCACCTGGGCGCTGCCATCGCGGCGGATTCCACATGTCAACTGCAGCTGGAAGAGCCGTGGACCACCACGAGCTCGGGGCTGCAGTACCGAGACATCGTGGTAGGTCAGGGTGAAGCACCTGTCAAGGGGCAAAGTGTGAAAGTGCACTACACCGGCAAACTGGAGAATGGCCAGGTTTTTGATTCCTCGTTAAAGGGCAATCCATTGGAGTTTGCCGTGGGCACTGGACAAGTGATCCCCGGCTGGGATGAGGGCATTCTGACAATGCGCGTGGGCGGCAAACGGCAGCTCAAGATACCCTCAAAGCTGGCCTACGGAGCAGAGGGAGTAGGGCCAATCCCTCCGGATGCCACCCTCCTCTTCGATTGCGAGCTGGTCGCCCTGGTCGCCCTGGTCGCCTTGGGGTCTAAGTAGAGGATCAAATCCAAAAATCCAGCGATGGTGTGAAAAGCTGAGGGGTTGCAGGGCCCCCAATTGACCCATTTCCATCTCGCCCATCTCCCAAGAAATCACAGCCGACCTTGGCATCGCCGCAGGGCGAAGTGATTCACGTGTCTTGTGGGGAGCCATTCAAGGTCAGGGTGTCGCTGTTGCGGGGAGCCAGCCTTGGGAGTCAGTGATGGGAAATTGTTGAGCCTAGGAGGCAGAGAATCCCAGAAAGACATATCAAAACATACCATAGCGGGTGATAATCCATTTATGAATCCTTTAATGAACTAGACTACCAGGCAGACAAGTTTTTGCCGGGCCATTGGGCATTGGGCTGGTTGAGCTAGTGTTTTCCTTGCCAAGAGGAAAGGGATTGGAGGTTCCGGGAAGTCCCAGATTTATCTATAACAGAAAAGAGGACCAGAAATTTTTGATCAACAGTTTTGGTTTTGGCTTTCACCTCTACAGGGCAAAAAAATCGAACAGGCTTCTGCCAGATCCAGATCCTTGGACAGCAACCTTGGCAACGGGCCTTGGCAACCCTGCTGAGAGCATAGATATGGAGAAATGATGGTGGTTTATCCATAGAATCCATATATATATATATGTATATGAATATCATTTGATATGATTATATACATATTGTTATTACTACTATTATTATCATTAATATGTGTATATATATATATTCATACAACACTTTCTTGGCATTCCTGTTCGAGCGATTCACAGTGGCATCCCAACGCGCCCTTTTGTTTTGCGCAGGTCACAGATGGTGGTGCTGGCACGCAAGTTGTTGGAGACTATGTGCTGCACGAAAAACTGGGTCAAGGCAGAAGATCTCAGAAGATCTCAGAAGATCTCGGGATGGATTCTGCTGAGTTTCATCATGGGAACACGTGGTTGCACGTGTATACAGTACACATATATAGACACACATATATATATATATGTTTACATATATATATATATGTTTACATATATATATACATATATATATACATACATACACGTGGGGTTCTATATCCCATCCTATCCAATGCCGTGTTGTACAGATTGGATCGCCAACAGAGGGAGGAGTTGACCAACAGATGGCCACGACTCATTCGCCTGGTCATGGCATGCCATGTTGGTGGCTTCAAATCGCAACTGTGGATGGTTGATCAATGACCAAACGGGTCTTACCCTTTGGAAAACAAAGGTGGTTTATAGGGATTTAATGAGGTTTAATTGGGGCATTTTCCATGGGTTTTAATGGGATTATAATCCACTTCATGGAATATACCCTCTGGTTTTTAACAGTTTGCCATGGTATAGATGGCCCATAGAAATAGATGGTTTACCTATTGATAGCATGGTGATTTTCCATCGCTATGTTAGTCATAACCAGTTGGTAAACTAACAGTTTGCGAACTGGAAATTCACCATGTTAAATTGCTATATCAACGACCTAAATGATCATTTTCAATGGCCATAGGATAAACCATGGCAATCTTCCTTAAAAGCTACAAGGCGGTGCCCCTTGTTGTTAGGTAAGTTAGTTCAACACTCTAACTATGGTTTATGCTAGATATATCTATAGTTGATATACTTTATAAATGAACATTTTTTTTCTACCATAGTTCGAGTTTTGAACTAATAACTTATAACTCTGGGTTGTTATAACATGTTATAAACATATTTCATTTATGGTTGTTATAACTCTGGGAGGCCCCACCTTGTAGGAGGTCTTTTCCCTTTCCTCTTAGCACCGCTGGGGCTGTTTGTCGACTTGCTCTAGGTGGCTTCGGCTGTGTCATGAAAGGTGCCGGCCTATCTTCAGACACCAAGAACTTCGGAGACGAATACAGAACTGTGAGCATAATGTGATCGAATTGACAATGACAATGATTGATACAGAAATTGATAATTATGGATATGAACTGTAATTCATTCCGTTGTCTAATATGTTATACTTTTATATGACTGATCATTATCTCATTTGGATCGGGTTTCATGTTGCTGTTGGGAACCTGGGATCCCAGGGAACCGTTGATCAACCGATAAAAAAACACATGGGAACAACTGCCGAACAAAAATGGACATGATCATCATGATGTGGTTTTATTGGTGTGTGATGGTGTGATGGACCACTTTTTTTAACATTTTCTATTGGTGGTTTGTAACATTTGGATTATCATTCCATATATTGGGAATGTCATCATCCCAACTGACGAAGTCCATCATTTTTCAGAGGGGTTGGTTGAAACCACCAACCAGATGTGTGATTCCTGGATGAAAAATTCCCGGTGAGCGGGAATCTGATATCTGATAGAACATCTTGGAGTAGCTACATATGTTTGATACCCAAGCACCGAATTTCTTGAAGGGGGAGCCAAGGAACCACATGAGGCATGCAACTGCTATGAGATCCCCAAGCAGGACCTGAGATTTCATAGGAATAGGTGTAATACGTGTATTGACATTGCTCTACCGATACACAGATGATCACATATGTATGTCCTGTTCATGATACATATATTATATTATATTATATTATATCATATTATATTATTTTATATTATATTATATTATATTATATTTGATCAGATATGTGTACAGTGTAGACTATGTCACATGTAGCATATATGTTTGTATATGTGCTGCAGCCATTTTAGTGCTTTCAGCTACCTTCGAGCTGACTGAGTGAAAAGGTGCTGATCAGTGCTCAGGAGTGTTCATCAGATTTAAGAGCCCAAATTCTCTGTTCATGGTAGCGGAGCTGAGGTTCTGATACCCAGCTGTGAATGTGTAGGTGTCAACTCTGGCGCGCCTACCCAGTGCCAACTGGAAAAGGTTGACACTCAAGCTCCTGAAAATCAGGAAACTCCAAAGGTACTTCCATAACCTGGGAGTGCATCTCCAACAGTATCCAAGGGTTCTCTTGAACCAGGTCTCTAAGCACCTGAAGAACGACTAAGGATGGCTCAGCAACAGCAGCCACCTCAGCAACCAGGCACTCCACCGGCACCACCACAAGCACAAGGCAACGGTCCCAACATGTCCCAGATGATCATGCAGATGATGGCCCAATTGACTCAGGGTCAGGCGCAGTTGAATCAGGCAATGACTGAGGCTATGAGCCAGCAGCTTCAGATCAACAAAAATGTTGAGAGATCTGTTGAGTACAAAGACAGATCAGAGTTGAAAGGCATACCAAAACCTGACAAGTTCAATGGAGCATCAGGCACTTGGGATAGTTGGTGGTACAAGTTTAAGACATGGGTTGAAAGTTGCCACAAGAACGCTGTGAAGATTGTGGCACAAGTCGAGTCTCAGTGTGACAAAGAGATCACTGAGTCAAGTCTAGAAGTAGACTTTGATGAAGGCGCCGAGCTAGTTTCAGCTCAGGCTAGACAAGCCCTCATATCATTGACTGAGGGAGAAGCGTTGGAAATTGTCAAGAACACATCTCGTGGTAGCCACTTTGGCCTAGAAGCCATGAGACGACTGTTGTGCAAATATGATCCTCAAAATCCTCAAGCCAATTCAGCCTTGTTGAAAAAGGTTCTGCATCCAAGTCAATGCAGTCTTGATAAGCTTCGAGAAGGGCTTGAGAGTTGGGAGAACTTGAAAAGAAAGTACGAAGACAGGAGAAAGAAACCACTTGAAGATGACATCTGCAGGAGTTGCTTGCAGCAGATGTGTCCCAACAAGTTGCAAGATCATTTGGACTTGCAGGCTTCGAGATTGACCACGTATGACCAGGTGAAAGCTGAAGTTTTGGCCTACCTTGAGAACGTCGAGACCAGGAAAGAAGCAAAGTCAGGAGCCGTTCCCATGGATGTGGATTCCCTTGCTAAGGGTAAGGGAAAAGGAAAACATGATAAAGGGAAAGGCAAAGGTAAGTCCAAAGGTAAAGACAAAGGAAAGAGTCAGTCTTCGTCTTGGTCAAACAATTCATACAACAAGTCTTGGAACAATCAGTCTTGGAACAATCAATCTTGGAATCAGCAGTCTTGGTCTAAACAGAATACCAATGACTCCAAGAGCAAAGGCAAAGGTAAGAAAGGTCAAGACAAAGGTAAAGGAAAAGGGGATCAAGGCAAAGGTCGTAAAGTTGCTAATGTTGAGTCTGACACTTGGGCTCAAGAGCAACAACCTGCAGCCTCATCTGGTGATCAACCTGAACCAGAGATCACTGCGCTGTTTGCCTTGGAAGACACTATGCCACCCAAGTCTGAAGCTCGAGATGAATCTTCTCGTCGTGGTCGAAGCCCAAGACGAGCAAACCTTCAAGCACCTTCAAGGAGCACTGTGACCAGGAGCGCTATCGTCATGGCTCAGAGCGCTTTGGCATCAGCTTCTGGGTCTAACAAGGAGCTGTTTGGCAAGATGATTGCTCAGGCTGAGAGCGCTGTCAAAGAAGCTCAGGACAAAGGGCGTCAAGCAAATCAAGCTCTTAAGGAACGCCAAGAAGCCCTGGACAAGTTGAAGAAAGAGGCAGCCAAGCATCACAAAGAGGCCAAAGAGGCAATGGCCAAAGTGAGGGCAGAAGGCCGTGCTGCTTCAGCACCGGCTGCACCCTCTCGTCGGATGCAAGCCGACCTTGATGCTAGAGTACATCCAAGAGCTGCCAAGAAGAAGGAGAAGGACAGGCAGAGAGCTGCCAGTCATCGAGCAGCCACTGCTGGACAAAGGGCATCCAGCTTCAAGCGCTATGAGTTGGCCACCTTTGGACAGGCCGACCCTGACAAGTGGGACAAGGATGACATGGGAGATCTTCCTGAACCTCCCAAAGCAAGAAAGCTGGAACCTAAGCGCCATAGAGGAGGACATCACAGGTCTGAAAGACGAAGAGCAGATGAAGCAAGGAAGAAGGCCAATAAGGAGAAGATGAAAGAGATGAGTAAGGATGAGATCCCACAATGGATCCATGACAAGTGTGAGATTTCCTCTGAGGAGAGCATTTCCTCTGAAGGATATGAGTTTGTCAGCAGACTTGA